TCCATGGGCAGGGCTAAAATTCAATAAAAATCTGCGGAAATTCCACAGGGGAGGCTAAAAATTTGCTTAAAATATGTGGAAATTCCAGGGGAGGGGGGACCAAAAAATGGATGTCCTCAATAGGGGGGTGCGGATTAATAATGCGATCAGCCATTTTGGAACTCAGATCTAGACCTAGTTCCTTCAATATATATCCTTCAATATGCCATTTTGTTTAGTCAGTGCTTCCTCATCCAAAGATAAATTTCCCTAATATTGCCTCAAATTTCAATTTTCCACAAACTTTTTCCTCTAAGTGGAAACACTTACAAGCATGATCCAATAAAAAAGTTTAGGGTTGGGATTTCGACGTCCAAAAGCTAGGTACTGTAGGGTCAGGAAACCGGAAACCCACATATTTTTTTTTTCCTGAATAAACATAAATATGTGTAGCCGCTGCTTTAGAAGCATTTGGCAATATTTTATCGGGGAGTTTTGTTGAAATTTATGTCTCGCCCAAGTTCACCCGGTGTTATAGCTGCCTACCTTTGTGTACTTTGTAAAGGGTAATATTAGATGATGGATAATATAGGCCGGGTTCAGCGAAATGGTCTGAAAATCAACCAGAGTGAAGTGAATGACACAGTAAACAAGTAAGTCCGCCAATATTTTGAATCAGAGACAAAACAGCACAAAAGACACAAAACAGCACACACATTATATGCGTGCACCAAATATACAATATTTCACAGCATGGTCTACTTTCCAGACCCCGTTGAAGATATAAGAAATCCATTAAATAAATAATGCTTATAAGTAAGCTACTAATGAGAGATCCCAGACGCATGTAGAGGTCGTATTACCAATCCAAAAATTAATTAAAATAAATCAGAAATATTATCACTTAAAATTAAACAAAAGTTAGAAAGTAACGAAATACTTCGCCACAAAATGAAAATAACGAAGTAAAACGTTGCTTCTTAAAACGACTTCGTTCCAAGTAAAAGTACTGCAGACAAAGTTTACTTTGTTACATGCTGACTTCTCAAAAATTGTACTCAAGTACATTAACGAAGTACATTTACTTCGTTACTTGACACCACTGATTATATCGCATTCTCATGATGTTTTTATATCATATTTATATGAAACTAAAACCACTACATAAAGGAAACTAAGTAAGTTATACTTCATAATTTAAAGTCATATTTAATGTTGTTTTGACACTTTAATAGAACTGCATAATGCATGCTAATTATTTAATATTTAATTAGGTTAATTTTGGTCACGTGTTGTTTGTTTTAATCATACGATCGAAAGTCGAGGACAAAAGGGAACAACAACTATTTTGACAGCCAAATAATACGATAAAAATGTATGAAAACTTGTACGAAATAAACCTTAGAACATTGTCCGTGTCTTTGTGTTGCGAAGAGTTCACAACAGTCAAAATAGTTTGATTAACAGAGCGAAATGGGAAGTCACAGGAAAGTCCAATCAGATTGGTGCTATATCAGCTGGTAATGCAGGAACTGCAAATGTACCAACTCAAAAGGTCAAAGTGCATAGTGCCAATGGGAACTCTATTGAGGGACTTGCCATGGTTGATAGTGGTTCTAATAAGAGTCTCATTCGGAAAGAGTTTGCGGACAAGCTCGGTTTGGTCGGAGAATCAAAAAAGATGAAGATGTATGTTGCAGGCGGTGGAATTAGAGTTGAAGATTCTGCTGAGTTTGATTTAAAGATATCGCCCTGTTATGATGAAGATATTGTATTCAATGTGAGAGCTTATTCAGTCAAGAAACCGTGCCAAGGAGCTAAAACTGTTTCAAAGAAAGCGGTAGTCAGATTTCCTCACATTGTTCGAATTGTAGAAGATCTACATTTAAATGGCGGTCCAGTGGACATTCTATTGGGAACAGATCTACCGGAAGCCCATCGTGATTTTAAAGTTCTGGCGGGTAACCCTGGTGAACCGATTGCAAAGAAGAACATCTTTGGCTGGTCAGTCCTTGGTAATCTTGAAGAGAATAGTACGCCTGGAATTTTTGCTGTCGAAACTATTGACGACATAACAAAGGACCAGGACATAAAGAAATTGATTTTCCAAGATCAATTAGGAATCAAACCAACTCGTTACTGTACATGCTCTGAGAAGGAAATGCGAAAATGTGTATTCATTCGACATGTTCGGGAGTCTACTAGAGTTGTGGATGATGGAAGAATTGAAGTAAGAATGCCTTGGAAACCAGGACATCCCAATCTACCTAACAATCGGTCTGTCGCCTTCGAACGAATGATGTCGAAAGAAAGGCAGCTGGTAAAGAAAGGAAAGTTGGAGGCGTTTAACAAGGAAGTAAAAGCTTTGGTCGAAAGAGAAGTAGTCATTAAGCTGAAACAAGAGGAAGTGGACCCGGAGGAGCCGGCTTAGTATCGACCGATTGGGGAAGTGGAAAGTCTCAACAAGACTGCCAAGTGCAGATTAGTTTTCGATGCAGCAGCCAAAATGGACGGACTTTCCCTCAATGATGCTCTTGAAAAAGGACCATGTCTTATGAATTCCCTATTTGATGTGTTGATTGGCTGGAGACAGAATGAAGTCGCCTTTGCTGGAGACGTCTCGAAGATGTTTAATCAGATAGCTGTCCATCCGGATAATCAGAAATACCACAGATTCTTGTGGAGAGACGGAGAAACTGACAGAGAGCCTGATGTGTATCAATGGGTACGTCTTAGTTTTGGAGATAAGCCAGCTCCAGACCTTGCCATCAATGCCATTAATCTTCTCGCTGATAGAGCTCAAGTCGAATTTCCAGAAGCAGCAAGAATCCTAAAGGATCATACTTATGTGGATGACGTCGCGGGGTCGGAGATATCACCAGAGAAAGTCAAGAAAGTGGTTGATGGTATCGATACCATTTTGGGCAAAGGCAAGTTTGTCACTTTGCCATCAAAGCGTGGCATAGCAACAGCCCAGAGATTGATCAAGATGGTAACGAGAATCCGGTGAGTCTACTGGGCCATCAATGGAATAAGAAAGCTGATAGCATTGCTTTGAAGAGAAAGACAGTGTATACAGATCTCAGTTATTGTACGAAACGCTCTTGGTGTAGTGTCTCAACTGTGGGATCCGCTAGGACTGATGGCGCCAGTTACAATTCGGTTTCGAATTGATCTCCAGAATCTATGGGCCGCTGGTTATCAGTGGGATGAGTTATTGCCAAATGAAGAAAAGTTCAAATGGCAAAAGAATGTCGAGATTATGAACGCCCTTCTCGGTACCCACCTGGAAAGGTGCCTAAAACCTGAAACCTCGGTAGGAAGTCCACAGCTCCAAGGATTCTCAGACGCGGGAGAATTAGGATATGGTGGAGCCCTCTTCCTTCGGTGGGAATTGGCGGACGGCAAATTTACTTCCAGATTTGTTGCAGCGAAAGCCCTGGTTGCACCACTGAAGAAGAAGACCATACCGAGACTAGAGTTGATGGGTTGCTTGGTGCTGAGTCGACTAGCAGCTGCAATCGAACGAGTCTTGATGATCGACCTGGTTGACAAATTCTGGTGTGATTCAACTACAGCCTTGTCCTGGATAAAAAGCTCGCCAGCAGAATTCAAACCATTCGTGAGTGTCCGAGTCGCTGAGATACAGGAGAAACAACCAACTGCTGTTTGGAATTACATCACCTCGGAAGCCAATCCAGCGGACGCACTCACCAGAGGGATAATGCCTGAAGAGCTCCAGTTATGGCATCATGGTCCTCAATTTATCCAAAAGCCAGAAAACGATTGACCCGACTTCAAACGATCGAGTACCGTACCCAACTCAGTCCAACCTGACCCAGAGAGAAAGAGCAAGTCAAAATGCAAGATTGACGTATTACAACGTACTCAGAGTAACACTTCAGAAACTGAGGGAGTAAACAATGCATTTAACGTTGACGAAATCCAAAACAACGAACCAATAGTCACTGGACAATTTGTTGGTAATAACGAGGATACTCAAGAAGTCCTTAACAGAATTCTGGCTGGGTCATCTACCTTTCGCAAAGCAAGACGAGTGACTGCGCTGGTAGTACGAGCTATCAAGAATATCCTCCAGAAGAAGAAAATCAAGGGACTGTTCCTGAGCTGCACGATGCTGAGAAACGACTGATCAAGATGTCACAGGCAGGAATGGACGTGACCGGTAAAAGAATGCAAAATATAAGTCCCTTCATAGACAAAGATGGAATCTGGAAAGCTAAAGGAAGATTGGAAAATGCCCGTCAACTACCCCAGGCACTTCGAAACCCAATCATATTATTGAATAGTCATCCCTTGGTTAAATTGTTGCTACGACACCACCACCAGAAGCTGGCGCATTGTGGATACAAGCGGTTGATGGTAGAAATCAGACGGTGGTATTGGGTAATTGGTCTACGTGATGTAGCCAGAAATCATGTCAAAGCCTGCATTCCTTGCAAACTGATGCGAAAGAGAGCCTGTGAACAATATATGGGAAAGCTACCGGTCTACAGGACAGACATTAATCATCCTGCTTTTGCCAACACTGCTTTAGACCTTTTCGGACCATTTGAAATCAAACTAGGAAGAAAAACCATCAAAGAAGCTTGGTGCTGCATATTCACATGTATGACAAGCAGAGCAATCCACTTAGAACTTTGTACGGACAGATCTACAGATACGTTCTTGATGGCATTCAGAAGATTTTCATGTATCAGAGGACATCCGAAGTTAGTTTGGTCGGACCGTGTGACGAATTTTGTTGGCTCCCAAAAATACCTGCAGGAGATGGTGGAGAGCTGGGAAATACCGAAGATTAAATCCAGCGTTTCAGAATTTTGCACTTCATTTGAATGGTGTTGGAATGTACCTAAGGCTAGTCACATGAATGAAGTCGTGGAATCGCTGATAAAGTCCGTTCGAAGAGCATTGGAGAGTTCCTGTAAAATGATAGCCTACACAGAAGAGCAATGGAGAACCTACTTAGCTGAAGTAACGTTTCTGGTGAACTCCAGACCCTTATACTCTGCATCCGGCAACATTTGGGAAGAACCTCCCATCACCCCGAACGACCTGATCATAGGACCAAATTTTGGTGTTCCACAACCCGAAGAAGAAGAGCAAGTCAACCCGAGGCATCTCAGTAAAAGAGAGTCTGTCAATTCTGGCAATGTTGGATGAGGTATTTCACTCCAAACTTGTTAATTGGATCGAAGTGGCACGAGAAGAAAGATAATGTCGGAGTTGGTGATCTTGTATTAGAAATCGATGGGAATCGCAAGAGAGGTGAGTGGCAAATGGCGTTGGTGGAAGAAGTATTTCCTGGTGGTGATAATCTTGTTCGTAAAGTAAAGATTAGAACGTCGTAGGGAGTCTACGAAAGACCCATAGCGAAGTTATGCCTAATTGCAACCCGACAAGAGCTCGAGCAGAATGAAACTTTGGTACGACACAGTTAAAAAGCACTGAAAAGACAGGCATATAGACAGTAATTTCGTTGCTCAAACGTTGAGCTGTTAACGTTTTCCGCACTGGGGAGGAGTGTTTTGACACTTTAATAGAACTGCATGCTAATTATTTGATATTAATTATGTCAATTTGGTCACGTGTTGTTTTTAATCATACGATCGAAAATCGAAGGACAAAAGGGAACAACAACTATTTTGACAGCCAAATAATACGATAAAAATGTATTAAAACTTGTACGAAATAAACCTTAGAACATTGTCCGTGTCTTTGTGTTGCGAAGAGTTCACAACACAAAGTATTACTGCAAAATGTTTTCTCAGTTAATCCAATTTTTGTGGCGATTTGTGGCCCTAAACAACCGTTGCAAGATTGTCTTTCGAAGGCTTCGTTCATGTTTTTATGTTTTTTATAACAACAAGTGGAAGCACGCATTTTTTCCTCTCCTGCTGAAAACCCGAAAACCCTAGCAGTTTGCGCGCATGCTCAGACAATTTTCCCACCTGTTAAACACTGATGAGAGAGACTTTATTAAGGGTAAATTTCTGTTTTTCGACTTTTAATACATTAAAATCTGAAAATATGTTGTTATCGTATTATCTTTGTCAAAAATTGTTTATAGAAATTTAAAATTCCCAATGTCCAAACAGCGTTGGCCGTTGTGAACAACTTGATTAATGAGCTGAGCTAGTGAGCTTAACGATGATCGTTTGTATATGGATGATAAAAATATACAAACGAAAAAAGAATTAAGTCGACTAATATCCTACAGTCCGGACCTCTCGCTCACTGAATAACATACTTACATACTGTACATATATAACAAAAATTCATTCATGGTGATAGTCCAATTCTATTAGCCATTTCCCGAAGTCCTGGGTCTAGTCGCACAAATCCCATGTTGGAGGGACAAGAAATATGGCAGCACACATTTAAATTAAAAGTTTAATGTAAAAAGGAGATATTTCATTTTTGGTCGTCTAAAAAGTTGACATTTGATAGTAGATACTTCTACTCTTTCACATATTTGACGCCTGTCACCATATATTTTGTCCCTCCAAACGATCCCAGAATGCATTGTGATCTCTTTTGGGAAAACGCTAATTGCATAGTCGTCACAAAATTAACATTTTCTTGTTTCACTAAATCTTGAATCAGATCAGTTTTGGGAATTTAAGAGCAGATTTTGGAAGATATTTTTGAATTGTCAAAGATGTCGTGGCAATTTTGCCAAACTTTGGCAGGAAGGATTTCAGAGATTTTTCGAAATATTTTTTGGGGATTCTGAGGACGTGTGCGACGATTTTTGAGTAAATATCCCTCGATAGTGATCCCTGTAAATTGGCGAAAGATTTCTAATGATGATTTGGTAACTTTTTTTACAGTTTTTTGTGCAACTGATTGTTGGTTATAAATTGCGAATTCCGATGTATTTTTCTTCTTTTTCCCTTTCATCCTTTTCCGTTACCAAAATAATTGCAGTTTTGCGTTCCTCAAAACCTATCATAGAACCTCTGGTCACACTTTTTGATGAGTAGAATAATATATTTTAAATGATTTCATCAAGCATACCTGAACAAGACTTTCCATCTCCGTCGAAACCCTCATTGCATGTACACCGATACGTTCCAGGTCCTGTGTTTGTACACGTGGCATCGCTATGGCAATCATCCGCTGACGTGCCACAAATTTTTGTTCCTTCAAAGAAGTAAAAACAGTAGAACGTTTTAATGTTGACATATTGGATTCCTGCCACTGGATGTGTTGTTGTTCTTGTTGAAATGGACTAGTGCCGCGTCTGCTGCGATTCATATCGCCCCCCATCCCCCTTGAAAACTGACACCTCTTTGCTTCAACGAGTTGAATAATTACCGGTCAAAAAGTAATTCAGAAACGTGAGCATGTTATGGACGTGTTAAGAGAGAACAGATTACCCGACGTTTGCTACGAAACGTAATAAACTCAAGGGATACCCTGGGAACAGGGAAGGTTGCTGGCACCCGGTTACAAATATTCAATCAAAGTCTTTCGAAACCGAAAACGTATCAAGAACACAAAAATTATTGCAAAAGAATTAACTGTAGTACAAACCTATACAGCTCTTTCCATCACCAGCATATATGTCATTACACACACATCTCCCTCCAACGCACGAGGCATATCTGTGGCACACATCTTCCCCGCATGAATTGGGAAGTTCTGGTTGAAAATGAAATTGCATACAAATTTTAAAACATTTGAGTTAAGATTTCGGAGAGCCACGTTTGAGCTACTCCTCTTCCGTCAAAATGTCAAAAAAATTGACAATGTTAACATATTTATGTTTTGTAGTTGTGAAGTGAGGCAAGAGTTTTCGTGTCAATAAGAGTCAAACCCGCTCGTATGTTCAATTGAAAAACGTTTGATTCCTTCAGTAAAAAAGTCCAACTTATCTCTTATAGCGTTTGTTATAAATTAGGGTCGGTATGTCGGAAATAAATTTCTTTTTGAATATTTTTTTCATGGTTTTTTCAATAATTTGTGTGACAACAGACGCCATTTTGGCAGCAGCCCGCAACCACCCGGAGAAAATAGGGTCGCACGGTCAGAATCGCGTTGAAAAAATAATAGAGTCGGCACTGCCTCATCCCTCGTCGCTTCAGTTGGGACTAGAGATCAGTGGGAACACCAGGGATGGATCCAGCATGATCTGGTAGGGGGGGGGAGGGAGGGGTTGTGCTCTGCCAGCTCTGGTGCCGAGTTGTGTCGGTCATGTGTGCCGCCCGCCCATCAAATTACTTCACTACTGCAAAGTCTTGCTTGACTACAGTATTTGAATTGTAATTGTTGTTCACAGTTCGCTTATCATCATGTTATTACTCAAATTACTGTATCTCATTTTGTCTCTAATAATTTTTTGCTTTATCATGAAAAATAGCCCCCGCACCCCCCTAGTAAATCTATCCCTGGGAAAAACAATGGGAGCGCGGGGCTTAATGGGAATGCGACCCCGCGTACGGATAACGGATGAGGGACTGTGGAAGAGTCAGGAGTCGGCAGAAACTAAAATAGGGTCGATCAGGAACCGGAACCACAGGAATATTTTTTAGGCCTTACACTCACAGTTTGGGTTTGGTCTAAAAAAGAAAGGTCATGTATTGCTAGAGTAGTTTAACCCTTCCCATATAGCGAGGGAAGTGACGTCATGAGGAATTCATAAAGCAAGGTGATGTCAGCAACAATTTTCCCGCCATATGATATGATATCAAGAATTGTCGCATAGCATTTGTCGCATCCATGGACGTAGCTAATTGTCCGTATTTTAAAGGTATATTATTTAAATGATAAAGCCGGTGTGCATGATTTTGAAAAAAAAATGATTATTAGCAAATTATTGGGAGGGCTGCAGACTCCCCCTCCCCCGGTTGCTACGGCCCTGCGCACAACATTTGGTGTGTCACATGAATTATCGCATAACATTTATGCATAAATATTAATGAGATTTCTCGCCAAACCGGCATGAGTATAAACTGAGTAAAGTATACATTGGAAAGGTTAGATTATACTGTTTTTCATAGAGATTTTCAACAGAGATGGAAAACGTATGTGATTTGATAAATGCTATGAGTATTTCCTCAAAGGATAAGGAGGTGTTTACGGCCAGCGATTTAATTGTGGACGAATTCCGAATTGTTGCGTGACAATTGTCACGTGACATGAATTGTCGCATAACATTTCTCGCATAACATTTGCCGCGCGAGTTGTTACGTTAAGCCTGGTTCACATATGCCTGCGGCATGCCTGCGACTATATCCAGAGGACTATATTATTATGCCTCTACTTGCCGCCGAAATACCGGCAAAGTTGAACTCAACTCAACTTTCCCGGCCTACCGCCGATGTAACTGTGGCACTGGAGGCAATCGGCGAACAAATATTCACATAATTTACGTTTTAAGCTACCACCGGCATCGTCGCCGGTACGTCGCAGGCATATATGTGAACCTGGCTTTAGACGTCTACATAGCTTGTTGTACATTTTATTATGTACATAGCTTTTGCGGAGAGACCTTTTTCAAACGGGCGAAAAAGGGGGTATGGCGAATGCGAAAATGTATCATTTTTAGAGCGAAATAATGTTGCTAGGACACCGCTTTGCTTGCATAAATTAACACACAGATTAACGTTTTAAACAATTTATTTCTAAAGTATGACAATGTTACACAAATAAACAGTTGTTAATGAAACTCGCAGTGGGCTATGGGGCGCCGTTTGTTCATTTATTATTTATTACAAAAAGCTCGATTATTTTAATGATTTGTGAAACAATCCAAAAAAAATATCCGTAGTCTCGTCAATATTTTGTTTAGCCTGACGGAATTAAAATATTTCATAGTCAATATTTTTCTTGGGGGCGAAATACGCGTCTAATTTCTCGATAGCGATCTTATAGTCCTTATCCTCGTTCGTGTTTGCTAACGTGTCAAAAATTTCTTGTGCTGCTTCTCCCGCTTGATATAACAATAAAGCTGGTTTTTGTGTGTCGTCCTTTATGTTTAAAGCTACCAAATACGTCTCGAAACGACATATCCATGTTTTCCAGCGCTGGCTTATCGACGTAGCCGGATCAGAAACTGGATCAAATGGAGCAAGTGGCGTGACATCTACTTTACCCGCAGTTGCCATAATCAAAACTGCTATATTTATATTTGAACTATTAATGGATGGATGGATCAACTAATCAAAACTTTTTTTTATCCCATCCTCGTCGCCATATGTAATGTTCTCATTTCTACACTTTATTCTATATCCCGTACAAAACTACAATGTCATCAATATCAATCCGTCCTGTCACATGACCCATGTGACTTGTCACATGACCAATGCTACACGTGACAATTCATATCACGTGACTATTGTCACGCAACAATTCGGAATTCGTCCACAATTAAACCGCTGGCCGAACAGCAACCTCGTTCCCAGGCTCTTTGCTCTTGTCAAGCAAAGACCCTGGTCGGGGCTGGTCACGTGACCCCGCAGATTCTGCGTGGTAAATTGAATTGATCTCAGGGAGGGGTGGTAGAGAGGTCTGTTTGCTACGTTTCGAAAATTGCAATTTTATGTGTTATAGTTTCGGGTGATAAAAATGTAATTTGCAACAAGAAATCGTGAAAGGAATAGTTTTAATTCGTATTCATCATGACACAACTTCCTGCTATACTGAATATCATCAATAATAAGTGTTGCGGTACATTTCA